GCTCCAGCGGCTGAGAGTGACTGGCTGCGGTGCTGGCATCGACGGTGCTGGTGGTGGTGGCCCCAGACCTGCACCTTGTCACCTCGCACCCTCTGAACCCTCCCCAGCCCTCCAGCTCCCCAGAGAGCTCAGCAGGGCAGCTGCCACCGCCGTTTCCTTCAGCTGGGTTTTGTTGGGGTTGATTTAATCCAGCAGAAAAGAGGGTCCTCAGCTGCACAGAGGGGCTGGCTGGGTGCTGGGGGCATCCCCGTGCCCCGGGGGAAGGCTCCTGGCATAGACGAGCAGTGACGCGAGCTCAGGGCTGAGCTCTCGCTCTGGTGGTGCTGATCTGTGAGGGGTGGGCGCATCCTGGGCAGGGGGGCTGCTTCGGGTGCTGCGGCAGGAAGAGAGCCCGTGGGGCAGGGAAGGGGGCCCGGCTGGGAGTGATGTTTTGAGGTGTGGGGGTGTGCATGCAGCATCTGGCAGGCCCGGGTGGACTCTCCAGACAGCACGCGCTCAGCCTTGCCTCTGCCCTGTGGATGGATATCCAGCTGCAGCGCCTGGTAGCACACAGGGAAGCCTGGGGGAAAGGCATTAGCCTGCTGGTTTTTCGGCAGCTGAACGCCCCAGCTCCCAGGGAGCTGAATGAGAAAACCAGCCCTGGCTGTGTTGGATGCCCGGGGGGTGGTTTCCAGCACCTCTGTGCTTTGCTTTAACCTCTCAGCTTGCTCTCGCCCTCCTGATGGTGTTCCGTGTCCATTCTTTCTTGAAGGTTTTTTGTCAACTTCCCGTCGGCCAAGCAGTACTTCAGCCAGTTCAAGCACATGGAGGACCCACTGGAGATGGAGAGGAGCTTGCAACTGCGTAAGCACGCTCGGCGGGTCATGGGTGCCATTAACACTGTGGTGGAGAACCTCAATGACTCCGAAAAGGTCTCCTCTGTTCTGGCCCTGGTGGGCAAGGCCCATGCCCTCAAGCACAAAGTGGAGCCCATCTACTTTAAGGTAAAGGATAGGAGCAAAAAAAAAATTCTCTGGGATGCTTTAGAAGTTGGGAAGAGGGCAGGAGAG